ATCGCAATGTACAAATATCCCCAAAGCCCGAGATTCTCGCGCATATCCTACGTTCGCTTCTGTGATTTAGTCTCGAAAACAACAGCCTCACTATGAGGGTCACCTTCGCATTGGCACCATGCCTGGTTTCCTTCGCAGCATGTGCATGCGTGCCCGACTTCGCCGACAAGACACTGTCTGATCCGCTGACACTACAACACCCGGCAGTTATTGCAGCATTTGAACAAGTCCAGCGCAACCTCTCGGCTTTATACATCAACACAACTCGAGATGGACTCAGCTTCGCTGTTGTACGTAAAAGTCCAATTCCATCACGAGGCTTAGCACTAACAATCACAAGGTTCATGCGTCAAGCCCAAAGCCAGCATATGTGTTCAACAACGGAACATTGAAGTTCAACGAGACTGATGTGGGACCCACCGAAGCAAATTTGGTGACGAGCGACTCGATCTTCCGCCTGATGTCTTGTTCGAAGAATGTCGCGATGGCCTCTGCTCTGGTCATCGAAAATCAGCTTAGACAAAACTCTTCATCATCGTCATCCCTCCTGACTATCGACACGCCCGTGCGCCAGTTGCTTCCCTCTTTCGGTCTACCGGAGAGAGACTGGAACGACGGCGGCAGTGAGATCACGCTGCGTATGCTTGCGAGCCACACAGCGGGTATACCAAGAGAAAGCTACAGTACTGGCTTCAACATGATTCTTAGTACCGGAAAAGCAGATTCGCCGACTATTGGAGCCGCATGGGCGGGTGAAACTGCCCAAGACGTAATTGATGGGATAGCGATGAAGAATCTCATGTTTGCGCCAGGCCAGAGGGCAGCTTGTAAGAGACTTCCTCCTGCCAACGAGACGCGTACTGACACGAATAGATTCGAATGCAGGCTTGGGTATTCTAGGTGGTGAGTGAATATAGCATGCGCCTAACGAGAACATAGACTAATCGACCGCTAGCTGCTGTAGCGACATACTACAACAACATCACTTCCTCGTCTCTCAGCTGGTCTGAACTGACATCGCAGGAACTTCTTCAGCGATTGAACATGACCCATAGCTTCTTTGGCTCTGTGCCGCAGGATTTTGACCCAGACATAACTGTACCGGGCGGTGAAAGTTGGGTCGATTTGATCGTAGGCGAAGGCTACGACCCAGCTGCCGGCATGTGGAGCTCTGCAAACGATCTCGCCCGGTATATGCATGGCCTATGGCTCACGCCTGAGCCTACGCTCATTACGCCCTTCCAACGTCGTCAGGTCATGAAGCCAAGTGTCATACTTGCAGACGGCAAACAGCAGAGCGGCCCAGGCTGGGAGATCGAGATCTTGAACTTACCGACGAGTGAAACTGCTAGTCTGGAGGAAGACAGTATGAAGACATATAGCATCTTTGGCAAGTCCGGCGATGGAGGAGGCTGGCATAGCTGGATCGACGCCATACCAAATCTCGGTTATGGCATAATCGTGCTCGTGCAAGGATCTGGCCTGGCCGACTACGCAGGTATCTCGACGAGTACTGTCAGAGACACAGTACATGCTATCCTTGCGCCTGCTTTCGCAGAAGCATTGAGCACAAGAACGAAGGAGCGATTTGCAGGGTTCTACAGCGCTGGTGAAGACACTGGACTCATTGCTGATGAAGTCGCCACCACGCTGTCAAACTCCTCCACTTACGCCAACTTGGAGATCAAGGACCAGATCTTGTATATCCGCTCGCTCATCGTGAACGGTTCATCCGCGCTCGAAGCAATAGATCGCCTGTCCTGGACCGCGGATGCCCAGCCACGCTACTTCTCTACACCGGAAGGGGTTGTCTTGGAGCCGGCGGAGGGCGTAGGCGAGACAGATGAATTTGGACCTGGAGCGCAGGTTTGGAGGATGATCTTTCCAGGGTTGGCATCGTGCGATTGGTTCGACTTCGACGGCTATCATGACAGCAATGGATGGCCTGTGAGCAAGGTTGTCCTGATTGAGAATGAGGAAGGAGTCGAGCTGCACTACCCACCATTCGACATTACTGTGAGTCGAATGAAGATACACAAATAAGACTTCTCATCAAATTTATGTACAGGTGTCTTACCGTGAGTCGGTGCTATTGACACAAGGCTCCGCGCCTGTATTAGTCAGCCGTCCTCGGCATTGCGCATCTTGTCACGCGCGGAGTTCCCCTATCAACACATGACTCTCCCTCCGAGTCGACGACCTCCGCTACCCAAGCACAACACCAACCATCTCTTGACGTAGACAATTTCATCACCAGCTCGAATGCGACATCAAAATTACACGCCTGGCTACCGACTGCATCATTTCAACTGCCCGGGGTGATTCTCGGGTAAACATGCACGCTGCTCCTGCACAAGCTCGCGCTATCATCGATGCCTTCCACAACAACGTAGCTGAAACCGAAAGGCAACAGCGTGAGCTGCAGATCCAAGAGAGTGATCAGCACTTCCACGACATGTACAGTCCATGCAACCCATCGTCGACGTTCCATGACCTACAGTGTGGCCACAGGATCCAAACAGAGTATACCGCAAGCTGTGGTGTGACCTGTGCGCGACCGATGCAAGGCCAGCCGTTCGTCTGCCCGGCTTGCCTGATCGATGTAGTGCGTGCGGAAGTAGCTCTCGACAGTCTCACTCTCGGCTCCAGTGATGACGCCGCAATGGACAGCACGGGGCTAGCCGAGGAGGACAGGATACAACACTTCGCCAACAAGTACGTCGCCGCAATGCTGAAGAAGGGCTATCGCGCGTGTAAGGCAGTGCTCAAGATTGATGAACCTCGCATGCAGTTCTTCGATCAATTCATGCGACAGGACGGGTTTGGAGGCGTGGAGGATGAGCCTGCAGACGGCATGACTGCGAAGCCACGGAAGCGTCCTGGTGCGGGTGGTGGCCGTAGACAGCCTGCCAAGCTGCATGCAATACATCGAAAGAAGCCTGGGACGTGGGATTATCGTGATCCGACTGGAAGCGAACCAGTTCTGGCAAAAGCTGCGCGCGAAGATCCAGGCGATTACAATAACGAGGATATGGAAGGCGGTAAGGGGATGACAGGCGATGCTGTGGAGGTGGCGCATTCGGGACAATCCGCTGATGCATGTGTCGATCTCGTTCCGCAGTCAGAAGCAGCCGAGGCTGTACTAACAGCGATGGAAGCATTTGCTAGGCTTTCCACGTGGTGAGTGAGCACGGCAGATCTTCTAGTACCCAGAGATGTAGCGTTAAGAGATCTTCAATTGTATTTCGAATAGTCCCTGAGCTCGGACAAGAGGTCATCTCGGAGTAGACGTTGCCGGCTGATAACGAAAACCGTCGCTCAAAGCCCGATCTCGATAGAGGAATTCGACAGAGGCATCCCGATAGCGGAAGCCGAAGTTTGCCTGGAATGTTAAAAACTCTGCCTGAGATGTGAACCAAACAGGGGTCAAAGGGATGCGGGGAGGACGTGTTTGACTGGAGAGTGTACCTAGGTAGCTTTCTTGCTGGGGTCTGTGCGCTGCTGATGATGTCAGCACCTGGGCATTCTTCGATAGATTCCTCAGACTCAATCTCCAGCACCTACCACGTTCATTCATCATCAGCACGCACGTTTATCCATATTCCCGAGCCTTGCAGCGTTTATTGACACTTTACAAACTTCTATCGCCGACTTTGCGCGTACAACGTCTCGTCACGAACGCCTCAGTCGCGTGGCTGTCGATCGCGAAATTGAGTTTTGACATGGTAAGTCCCGCAGCGAGCGCAACCCTATTCGCAGAATGCCAAAATTCCCGGTTAGCATTTGTAAAACGACAAGCATCCGTTGGTCTTGGTAGGGCCTTTTACGCGTTTAGCGGTACTCAAGTCGTTATTGAGACGTCCGTTAGCCTTGGCCTAGGTCCGCCTCTTACTCGCGACGGGAATCGTTCGTAGGGCGACTGCACATGTTCGACACCTCAATGCTAATCTGGAACTGCGGTTGCAAATCCTCGGTAGTTGTGACAAGCTCACCTAATGCAGTCGCACACTATGGCGTCTTGTCGTTGAAGCTTTCCATGATTGCGCACCGCTCTATGATCGCCATGGATCTTGCCTCGAGGTTGGGTTCAGAAGTAGCTTTCCTTGACATGCATCACCATGATGATGTAAGGCAGGTATGCGCACGATTGTACATGGATTCTTGGACATCGACGTCTCAACACATTTGAATTCTTCTCGTTTTCGACGATAATTCATGACCCAGGGTCATTGATCACAACCCACCACCAGCCGTTTTCCTGTGGGGATGTCGCAGATCTGCAGGCACACGGGTGGAATTGATGATTCTAGCTCGACTACTAGTAAGTGGTATCGGCAATCCTACCCCAAGTGTCGCTTCGCACCTGGGCAAACTCAAGCTTCATACGCTCGCGTGGATCATTTACCGCTACAGCGGGTCGCGCGATCTTCAAACACCTGCAGAAGCAACGCCAACAAACGTCCTGTTACACATGCCACGTGTGCGATCAAACCTCCCTGCCTCATGGTGATCAAAGATCAGCGTTCCACGATGCACGGCGTTTGCAGGGTCAGTATAGCCTCCAGCTACGTTCACTGTTACGCGCCCCCGGGTTTCTACACAACGCCACGCTTACCAGGGCTATGCGCAAAACTACAGCGACTTGTTAATGTCGCGAAGCTGACGGCACATGACTCCGCCTTGTACCCCCGATGTTCACCGCAACTTTCTTGGAAGCTCTCACGGAAAGAGCCTAATAATGGACGCAGTCGGCGAAATAGTCCATATACGCCATGCAAGACTAGGGGACCCGTACTGTGGCGTAGATCACTCCACAGTGTTTGAGGTGCGGGAAGATATGGACCCCGCTAACTGCTAGCGGAGTCATTGGTCTTGGACCCCCGACTCTTGTGTATAGATCTAACTCATATCCCGGGTGCCGTTTCTGTTTGCGATGGTCAGTTCGTGTCTCATTCACCCCGACAGCTAGGCCTGCTGCTACTACGCCGGTAATTCCTAATATGGACGGAAACACTTTGGGATCCTATGGCGGCAGCCTCGTTGCTCGTGCAGGCGGTTTACATCCCCCACCAGAAGTCCTCCTCAGCTGGCCAAGACCGAATTATGTCGACCCGGAGGAGCGAGGTTGGGGACCACCAATACTGCTCATGGTCGTCTTGGGCATCACCTTCCTGGTATACTGTGCGCGGATGTGGGCAAGGCTGGTCATATCGAAGAACTTTGGGCTGGATGACATACTTGTCAGCATGGCAATGCTGCCGCTATTCGGTCTGACCATAGCAAGCGTACTTGGTATGTATCGCTTCCTTTCGAAGTGGTCTTTGCTAACACACGCAGGTATTCGTATCTATGGCTTCCAATGGCACGTCTGGGACCAGACCAAAGAAACGCTAGTAACGACAAGAGAGATCGCTTTTGCAATCGAACTTAACTACATGTTAACCTCGACGCTGATCAAAGTCTCGATCCTTTGCTTCTACCGCCGAATCGGTGATCGTCTGACGAATCAGTTTATCTACTGTAAGTATCTCGCCAAAGCCAGCCTGGTCCACACAGAAGCTAACGTTGCTCCACAGGGGTCTACGGCACCATCGCCTTCTGCATCATCTACGGAATTGCCTTCACTATTGCCATTGTCTTCACATGTACACCGGTTATAGGATTCTTCCGCCTCTTCGACATATCCTGGAGACTGCAGAATGAACTGACGTGTCGCAACGAGGGGGCCCTCATTGTCGCATGCGCGGTGATCTCATTGTTCCAGGACTTTATCATTTGCCTGCTACCAGTCCTTTTGATTTGGAACCTCCAGATCAGCAAACGCCAGAAGATCGGCCTGTGTGCCATTTTTGGCGTGGGTCTGATAACATGCATCTGCGGTATAATGCGAACTTTCTATGCCGCAAAGCTATACTTCTGTAAGCATCTATCTTCTGGAATCCATCATCTGGCAAAACTGACTCTCTGGTCTAGTCACCTACGATATCACCTGGGCAGCATATTCTGGCTGGATCTGGACGACACTCGAAGCCCAGCTAGCCGTGATGTGCGCCTCGGCGCCCTCGCTCAAAGTCTTTCTCGGCCGCTACTTCAGCATGTACACCTCGCGCGCCGGCTACTCTCAAACTGGAATCCCCGGTCAAGCGTCTGGTCCGTCTTCAAATACACTATCGCAAGGCTTCACCGGGAAAGCATCCCAGCACTCGACACAGCGATCGCAGTGCACTGCTGGATCGATTCGCGGTGATGTTCCGTTGGAAGGCATTCACATAACCAACAAGTTGGATGTCAAGGTTGAAGAGCGCGATGATTACGAGCATGCGAGCGTCCACAGCACGAAGGAGCTTACTGCGCTACCAATGTCATCACAGCCGGGTTGGCGGGATGGCTGCAAAACGGTTTGCGCCGCACTACGACCAGGCAGCAGAGGCATATCAGCAACTCGTGGTCGGAGTCGCGAGCGCGATATCGAAGCCGGTCGCGCTTACTGAGCCAATTCTTGCCATTCGTTTTTCTGTCTGCATCACCCGTATCATCGTTCCGTCGACCTTTTGGTTTTCTAGACCCATATACCTTTCCCTTTGTTCTTATTACAACGGCTCAAGACATTCCTTGAGCACGCTACGACATTACAGCCGATTCTAATTTGAGAAGCGCACATATTCAGGGCACGATGGCCAATGACGCCTCTTTGCATACTTTCGTCATGAGTTAGTCATGACATATACCCCCTTATCTTCCCTTGTTGTTACTGGCTACATATTGGATACTGGTAGAAGCACGAAGAGTACGGATCGAATTACATTAGAGCCTCCTAATATTAGACCCTCTTTATTCATTCATCTAGATGCATCTCTTGACACATCAATCGTGATATATCAATCTCTCGACCATTCCGCCTACTGGAGTAAAGACTTCGCAGCAGCCTCAACCTCCTCCTTGTTTCCACAGATCAACCCACCCCTCTCGTCCGTATCCTCAATCGCTGTCTCAAGCACCCTCTTACCCGTCGCCGAATCCAACGCCGCACCTCCAGCGCACTCCAGGATCAGCGCGATAGGTGCGAGTTCATAGAGTCGCCTAAGCTTGGCTTTGCTCTGCTCCGTTACCGGAGAGATATACACACCATGACCCTTGACCAGCGCATGTACAACATCCGGCACAAGGCCGCCGCTGTATCGCAGCGTGTACTTCTGCATAATGAAACGGTTGATCAGGTTCAGATACCTCTGGTCCTCGGCCGCTGCGCGCATGTTCGCCGGGGCGAAATATCGGGTCTTTACTTCAGAGGCTTGCGTCAACTGCACGTCTGGGCGGATGACTTGCATGGCGCCATCATCTGCATATCCGACTTCGAAACATGAGCCCTTGGTACCTGGTAGACGGAGAGCGACAATGGCGGTTGTGCGTGGGCCTAGTACACCCAGAATTGAGGCGATTTGCTTTGTGTCCGGCGATTGATGTAGTGCTGATGCTCCTTCCCAGACTCCGATTATCGTGCCTACACTCCAGTTTGGTGCGATGATGGAGGAGCCATCTAGCGGGTCGAAGGCGAGTGTGTAGACTTCTTTGCCCGAATCTTCGCTGCTGGTAGATTTCGATGATTTTTCAACGGGGTCTTCTTCGCTGGAGGCTGTTACGATTGCTGGGCATGAATCAATGGTTTTGCGGATCGCTTCTTCGGCCAGCACGTCAACGTTCAGTTGGTCGTCGCCAAAGGCATTGGCGGTTCCGACTTGTGTTACCGATGGGGAGGTGCGCAGGTGGCCGGCTATTGTGTGGATTGAGCTGAGAAGTTTTGGGAGGACGGCATCGCGCAGTTGAGGGTGCGAAGAGGTGATGAGGGAGTTTAGATGGGTTGGTACGTCTACGGGTTGCGACATTCTGGAAAGTTTATGAGTTATCGAGTTTAATTGAGAAAGTATGCCTGTTACGGTGCAGAGTCTACAGCGGAAGAAGAAATTCTGCGCCTGCTAGTGTTCATCAGAGTGTGACGTCGTGGTGTGGAGTTGTGGAAGCTTCGTCCATCTAGCAGCTCCACAAGCATCCACTGAGATCATCATCGTTTCTCGGCCCTATCCGCGTCTCCCCCAACACCGCGACGCGTCACGCGTCGATAGCTGCTTTGATGTTGGAGATGCTTTCTTTTGCTCGTTCGAGGTGGGGTTACGAGCGGGGTAGCTCGGGAAGCTTCCAAGGTTAGCTGTCATCGCGGCCAGCTTCGGAAGCTCAAAAGCCATCCCTTCTCTTCATTCTCTCATGTCTTGTTCGTTCCATTTTTCATAAGCGCTCGTTTCTTTCCCCTAATTCCATCAACAATGCCTCAAACACTCAAAATCGCATCCGCGCAATCCCGCACGCTTTCCACCACCGCCGAGACCCTCGCCGCTCTCGAAGCGACAACGAAGCGCGCCGCATCCCAAGGCATCGATGTCCTCTTATTTCCCGAAGCATACCTGGGTGGATATCCTCGTACTTGCGCTTTTGGCGCTGCGGTTGGCGGTCGCGCACCCGAAGGTCGCGAGCAGTTCCTGCACTATTTCCACGATGCTGTCGATATGGGCGACACACCGAGCGGCGCTGGGCAAGATTGGCTAGACCGGAAGCTCGAGTTGCCGAGAGGGAAGGAATATAGGGGTGATGGGACACGAGAGGAGCTAGAGAGGATAGCAAGGGAGACGGGGGTCTTTGTTGTTACGGGGATTGTGGAGAAGTCTGGTGGCACGCTATACTGTGGGGTGGTGTTCGTCGACCCAAAGATGGGCGTGTTGGGGAAGAGGAGGAAAGTCATGCCGACGGGCAGTGAAAGGCTGATCTGGGGCATGGGAAGTGCGAGCACCCTGAGGGCGGTGACAACGGAGATCAAGGGCGTTAAGCTGTGTATGGGGTCGGCGATTTGCTGGGAGAACTACATGCCATTGCTGAGGCAAAGCTTGTACAGCCAGAACGTCAACCTGTGGTTTGCGCCGACAGCAGATGCGCGCGATGCTTGGTCGTCGCTAATGCGCACGGTAGGCTGCGAAGGCCGATGCTTCGTGGTTAGCGCAAATCAATGCGTCAAGAAGAAACACCTCCCAGAATGGATCACCGGCAAAGCACAACCGCAGAGCAATGGCAGTAGAAGTGGCGTCGGCAGGAGCCTCTCGCAACAGAGTAATGGAGTCGCTGGCAGACGACGAAGCACCATCACGAAAACGCCGGAGGGTCATGAGATCTGCATACCAATACCAGAGGGACAGGCGACTGAGGGCGATTCATCGGCGATTGACTCCTCATCGACTGCGGAAGATACGCTTAGCCCCAAGCAGCAACCCTTCTCGCAGCCTCAGTCAGCGGATGGCGAGGAATATGTTTCCCGTGGCGGCTCTATGATAGTATCACCCTTGGGTGAGGTGCTTGCTGGACCAGTATGGGAGCAAGAAGATGAGCTATTAGTCGCAGACGTCGATTTTGACGATTGTGAGCGCGGCAGACTTGATTTCGATTCTGGAGGAAGCTATTCGCGAATGGACAGCTTCAAGCTCAGCGTTGAGGGCCTTGACCTGAATCCCCCGCCGATGTAAACTATGTAAGCCTCAGTGATAGATCTCTTATAAAGTTGAATCTATCATGCACCCTTCTAGCATCACCATGGGCCAGAGAAGATGGGTAATTGGTGCGATATCTATAACACAGTTTGCTCGTCAGAATCGTATTTAGCTGACTTGTTTGTTCAAAACTTCAGGCAAACCAGATACGTAGACGCCCATGTTCATCTGACTGCCTGTTGTGGGCTAGGTCATGATTGGTAGAACCGGTGGGCCTGAGGCTGCGAGCTACCCCTCATGCTTGGTCAAACGTTCCCAGCTCCCCATTTCCCTACGAGAGACACGCTAGGCACTCACAGTACACCACGGGCCTTTGAACTTACCTTCAGATACTATTGATTCCCTTCTCGTCAACTTCCAGGCAATGACAACGCGCAAGAACCTCATCATCGACACCGACTTGCACAGCGATGTTGAGTACGCATCCCCCCGTTCTCATATCTCAAGAAGCTTACTAGTGTACTAGTGATGCGGGCGCATTGCTGCTAGGCGCAACTCTCCCCAACGTCAACCTTCTTGGTGTCAACGTCAATCACCCCTGTTCGTACTCTGCTCTCGCAGCGTCTGCTATTGTAGCACATTATGGACGCCCAAAGACGCCTATTGGTATTCGTCGCCCAATGAACGACGTGAGGTTCTTTGACGCCTGGGACTACAAGCGCGGCGAGTACACGAGTAAAGTGGCCTACCACTGGTCCGGAGGCACTCTACCATGGGGAAAGGCAGACAAAGCATGGGATCCAGTTGTCCTGTACAGAAAGCTGCTCTCTGAATCAGAAGACGGAAGCGTGACGATTGCTTCCATCGGCTTCCTCGATAATGTGCGTTTTCAGAATGTGGCTCTTGTCTATTGACCGCTGGTCGCTAATTGCTACAGTTGTCTGGACTTCTCGACTCCAAACCCGATGAGTACTCTCGGCTTGACGGTCGCGAGCTTGCCAGGACTAAAGTCGCAGAGCTCGTCGTCATGGGTGGCAAGTATCCGAAAGGTCGTAGCTGGAACTTCTGGGGCTCCAAGCCCGCCCTTGCCGCTCATGTGTTGGACACATGGGTCGGCCCAATAACGTTTGTAGGCACTACTGTCGGCAGAGAGGTATTAATAGGCGGACCGCTCATGGCGAGCGATCTGGAAGACGACCCAGTCCGAATGGCTTACATCTACTATGGGTTCGGGAAGCCGCTACCTAGTTGGGATCCACTTGTAAGTGTCCCTTTACGAATTGCTTGCGAGGCATACGCTGACTTCTTGCGCCCATATGTAGACTATCATGTATGCTGCGAACGGCCTTGGAGACATGTTCGACATTGCAGAAGACCGCGGCTACAACAAGATCAACGCTGAAGATGGCTCAAACGAATGGATAAATGACGGAGTGTCGCATGGACGGCGAACTCTGAAACTGAAGGTCAGCAATGAAAGTGCTGCGGCCGAGCTGGATCGTCTGTTTTTGGATGCTGCGCGAAGATACTCTAAGCGCGCAGGCACCGCCTAGAATGTCGGGATGCTGTCATGAATCTGAATCGATATCAGATACGTACCATCACCAGGCGTACCTCCATCATGAGTAACTAGCAAGTGGGTATACTGATGTCGCGTTTCGGATTCTCCGAACTCGCTCAACACGATCCTCAGTCGCTCATCGGCCAATCGAGAGGTGCTCAGAAGTTCGTTGCTATTGTGTTCCATTACTACATCTCCACAAAACTACCTAGGTAAATGCACGACGGCACAACGTGCAGTACATGTGTACATGTCAAGCCCAGATGGTGCTAGCGGAAGACCCACGCGTGCTGCGTGACCAACAGCGATGACGTTGGCTGCAGGGTCCATGCTTCGCCCCAGCCCCAGCCTCAGCAAGATCCAACCGCGGCCGCTATCTAGACGCCAGCCTCGACCACTACCA